ATGGAGGGTTCCTATTAATTGGGATGTTTGTGGAGAGTTGGGAATGGCTAAAAGGTAAATATCTGGCAAGATCCTTGGATTCCATCTGGTGTTTCAAGGAAGGTGATCACACCAAGGGGACAAACCTTACTAGCCAAGGTGAGGCATTGATCAACCCACATATTGGTCAATGGGTCGAGGAACTCATATGTTCTGTTTTCAGCTTAGTGGATGTCAATAGAATTCTGCAAATCCCTCTTCGGGTTGATATTGTAGAGGACTTTGTTGCATGGAACCACATAAGGTTTGGATATTTCTCAGAGCGATCTTCATATCATGTGGAGTTTGATCATCAATATGGTCAACAAACATCACTACTGCTGGAAGCATTCAAGTAAATGAAATTTGGAAGGATACGTGGTGTCTAATAGACCCTAGTGAAGTCAAACATTTTGTATGGAAGGTACTGAGTGGAGTACTTCCAGGTTACAGCGTGCTAGCTAGTCGCCATATTCCTATTACTGGCCAATGCCCGATGTGCAAAATTAGGTTGGAGGATATACATCATTGCTTGTTCACTTGCACTAGATCGCTAAAAGTTTTGGGCTGCTCTAGGCTTGGAGGAATTCATTATGAAGGCAGTGATGGAAGGTCGCACTGGTTCTATTGCTATGAAATTTTTAGAAAGAAACCAAGAAAACCGTGGAGACCTACCAATGGCGGAGCTGATTGTCGTGGCAGCAAGGTATATTTGGTGGCAACAGCGCCAGTTTGTGAAGGGTAACACTATCTAATTGCCTGATCATACAAGCGTTTCTATCAAATTAGTGACCAGAAACTTTATACGAGTAGTGACTCCCAATCAACTAGTTCAAAAGCATGATCACATGTGGAAAGAGACCACCTCATGGTTTCCTTTAGGTCAATGTGGACGTTGTATTTCATCATGACATGCAATCGGGTGGCACATGAGCTATTGCATGTGATGACAAGGTGAATTTTCTGGCTGCAGCTAACTAGTTGTTACCACATGTTAACAATGTTGATTGTGTAGAATTGTGTGCTACTCGTAATGGGCTCTATCTGGCAGCAGATGTCAGAGGTACCCGAGTGATTGTTGTATCAGATAGTACATTTGCGGTGCAAACCTTGAACAACATGAGGACTACTTCAGCCTTGAAGTTGTGACAGTAAGGAAATGCCATAACCTTGCTAATGATTTTGGACAGTTTTGTATGATCATTGCTTCCATGAAGCAAACGAGAAAGCAGATTATTTAGCAAAGCTTTGCTTCAGTTCTAGAGCTTCCTCAGTTTGGGATTCTATCCATCCAGACTCTACTTCTCATATGCTTGTAAATGACCTATCTATTGTTTGAGAAATAAAGTCGTATTATTGTCAAACAAAACTATGTTTTCGTCTAGGTATGAGCTTAGCGTCAATTCTTCCCGAGGTCACCAAACTACCTTTTTTCCTCTTGATTACCTTGCTACACCAAATTTATAGTCTATTTGGTGGCCTTATCACATATACAAAAGTGAAGCATACATACGAGCTTGAATAAACATGTATAAAATAACTCGTCTTTTCATATTTTCACTCAATACATCAGCATGTAAAAATATACTCCTAGTGTTGTACATTGACCATGACCTTATGAGTGAGCATATCCATGTGAACGAAGAATCCATGTAACAAAGAACTAGTTACTAATTTATTTTCTAGAAAACAGAGCTAATCAAGTTCTTGATCTAAAAATAGGGACTAATTAAATTTGGATAATGATGTGGAGACCGAAAGATTGCCTCTCGCATCGTCTAATTGCATCACCATGAGCCATCGGACCAACCCTGCATAGTCGCCCCTCTCCTCTTTCCATCCCTTGTAGACATTGCTGCACACAACAGAATTCACATGTGTCTCCACGCTTGCAATAGTTGTCGCCACCTTCTTTCGCAGCACATGCGCCCACGCTCGCCGTTGCATGTGTCTTTGTGTTCCTAGTAGGATGAGTCTGCCACTTGCAACATTGTCGACCGTCCCTCATAGGACAACTTGTGCTACACGAGCGGCTTCGCATCATCTACATCAATGTTTCTAGAATGCCGACGCCCCCTCCCACAACAACTCGGTTCGCCGCGTCACAGGATGGGGAACCGCATATGTGAGGTCGCGAAGGTAGACGATGGCCCTCCCAGCAGCTGCAGGTAAGCCTTGTTGCAGGCTTGTAGCGAAGGAGGAGGTAGGTGACGTAGAGGACTAAGGAGATGATAGAGTTGTGCACAGGAGCATAACCAAGTGGTTCAAAGTCTTCCTACAAGAATAAGGATAGGGTAAGGGTGGTTTGTGGGATGCATGGCATGAGACAGGTGGCAAGCAATGGATGTGACCGACATAAGCGATGGGGCGGTCACCTGATTTGAAATATTTACCATTAAATTTTTTGTTACATGACACGAGCCTCCGAGTACGGAAAAACTTGTAGCCAAGACAAGGCGAATAAAACGCACAAAGGTTGGCAAGAAGGAAATAGTTGAACAATGTTTACCATCCAACCAATCAAAGGAAGAACATGGCCTATATATATTTCAATGTCATTTTCTTTTACCAGTCGTTTTGTGCCATGTCTTGTTTCCTATGTATTGGACTATTGGCCATTATTTTACTGGATGGATATAAGATAATAGATGCTTTTGAGTGTCTTTTCTTAAAAATACATATAAATTCAACGCAACAAACTACTTCCTCACATGAACTCTCATAGGAGAAGAAAGAGTAGCAACCAAGTAGGGTTACTTCCATAACGCAGGCTCGGTCTCTATCTTCATTACCAACCAGAGGATTGGAGACCTTCCCCTCTTCTTGTTATTAATTTTTGTATGTCTTTGTTTTCCTTTGATTTACAGTTCCTTTTAGCATTGATGTGGTGCTGTCGGCATTGGTGTGTTGAAATGAGGTCTCTCGCCCCCTCTCTCTCTCCCCCCTCTCTCTTAAGTATACTTCTTTGATATCTGATTTGGCGTCAATGAAGGGCACATAAGTGGTCTTAGTATAGATGTTATCAGATCGGTGTGCTCTTTCTAAATCTTGTCTTTTGATGTGTAAATGAAGGTAAACTGTTGTCTAGATCTTGATACCGCTACTTCGACTTCTTTGTCTGTTTCGTTCAAGGTGAAGATCCGGTTTTCCGAACCCTCTGAATTGGCGCTGAAGGATTATAAGCATGTGATGTGTGGAGGTGATGCCCAATCAATGTTTCCTTGTTGTTTATTGGATCTCGTTGCTAGTGATCGAGTGGCTCTTGTAATCTTCAAAGCATTGCATGGTTTACTATGATTTTCAAGTTGCGGCGAGCTACCAACAATTGAAAGAAGAAGACGACTAATATGGTTTTGAGTAATTCTATTATTTATACGATGTGTCATGTTTGATTGTTTTTCTTTTACAATGGTTACAATTTTCCTTTCTAAATAATATTTATTTATGAGATAAAAAACAGAAGCTACAACAGTGTTATATATATATATATATATATATATATATATATATATATATATATATATATATATATAATGGTTAATAAGATAGTCTTATCCTAAACCCGCTAGCTTAATCCATAGAAGGAAAGAAAATAATATATAAATGAGTTATTCCTTAATCTTATATTTAATAACTACTCCTGTCCCATATTAATTGCCGCTGAAATGGATTTATCTACACGCATTTCAGTGCTAGATGTATCCGTTCGAGCGCTGGTCGGTTAATATGAGACGGATGTAGTAGATATGACTAAATATATGGTGAGATGTGTCTTAATTTAGTAAGATGATGCATATAATTAAATTCGATCAACCCAAGCTTCTAACTTATATATTTCTCTTCTCATGATATTTTCCTCACCTTCATCTCAGCATTGGTCCTACATGGCGTATATACTCGTCTAAGATACTCGCTCCGTCCGAAAAAACTTGTCCCTCAAATGAATGTATCTAGCACCAAGTTAGTATTAGATACATCCATTTAAAAGACAAATTTGGGACAACCTTTTTCAAACGAAGGGAGTAACACATATACCATGAGCACCAACGGATTTTCGAATATACTACATACCATTGTTGATATGGAGAAAGAAAATTCTATGTCTCCCTTGCAAATCCCAGTGGCCTTTGTCATGTGAAGGTCAAGGGGGAGTCAAGCGTGAAAAACCCCAGCTCCAAGCCCAAAGCCGATGAGGGGCAAAGGACAGAAGAGATGAATGATGCAGCGGGTGGCCATCCTGAAATCTGCCTTGCATTGACACCGGGACCGGGTGGGTCAGTGTGTCTTGTAAAGAATAAGCGCACATTAATTAGTTTGATTAACGGAGTAGTAGCAAGTACTCCTAATTGGGATGAGTGAGTGGATGGTGGTTGAGTGAATGGACGCCCACTCGAAGGAACCCTGATCCAGCAGGAGCAGCTCTCAAACTCCATCCCATTACCCCACGCCATTATATAAGGACGCAATTAGGAGCGTCTCACCACCACCACCACCTATATCTATCTATCGCCATTCGCCCCACCACCTAAAAATTCCCCGGGCACCTACCCTTCCTCAATCCTCATCCCAATCCACAAAACAAAAAACTTTCGAATCTTGCTTCTTCTTCTTCTTGTTCTTTTTCTTCTTCTTCCCGTCATCTCCATAAAACCAAGAAAAGAATCTCTGCGAAATTGCAGCGCCCTTCATTATTCGAGGTTGGTCTGCTTCATGCTTGCTTGCTATCCCTATCTATCGGCTTTTCTCTTGGGTGGGTTGAGTGCGTTCCTTGGGCTGGCTGGATTTATTCTGGGATCCCGGGGATACATTGCCTCCTCCTTGCACCTTGCACCATAGCTTCTTTGCCTGCTCCTCATGCGCTCCGTTCGGTTAATCCAAAGATTCGCCATTTCTCTTTGCTCCTACATGTGAGATTCCTTTCTTTCCGGTTCAAGCTTGGCATTCGAATTCCTCATTTCTTGAGCGGTGTCGGAGTAAGGGGAATGTCTTTCCGGAGCCTAATTCAGGACATGAAGGACGAGTTCGGCAATATCTCGCGCCACGGTCTGCGCTCCTCCCGCTCGCACCGCGCCGCCGCCGGGGCCGGGGCCCCGCGGGGGGCCTCCGTCGGGCTGGGGTTGGCAGACGCGCTGGAAGGGACCTGCTGGGCGCAGCTGCCTCCGGAGCTCCTGCGGGAGGTGCTGGTCAGGATCGAGGACTCCCAGGGCTGCTGGCCCTCCCGCCGGGACGTGGTGGCATGCGCCGGCGTCTGCCGGGCATGGAGGGGCATCATGAAGGAGGTCGTGCGCGTCCCGGAGGCGTCCGCCAAGCTCACCTTCCCTATCTCGCTCAAGCAGGTTCGCGCTCCCCTCTTCATCACCCTCACTCAGTCATGCTACCAATTACGTACGTAGGTATACATTAATTGTGTCATAGCTTCATTGCCGTCGTGGTATTTAGACTAGTATAGTGAATTACCTTTGTATAGCGGGATGGTGATTGAATAAAATCGTCCTACTACACTATGTTGCTCAAGTCTTTGGGATTAAAGCAGCGAGCTATCTTTGTCATGGATGGTGCCAACCATCTGGTTTTCTTAAAGCCTTCTTGTATTGAAACTTGTAATGCTGGTTGGATGTCTTCCTGGTCATGACTTGACTAGAGAGGGTTGTTGGTAAACTAAATTTGCCATGATGAAGTGATGTATAAGGAAATCTGACAAGTAAGATGAGCAAGTGCCAACTTGATGTATGCTATGCAGGCCTTTTATCCGCGGAGTCCGATTAGCTTAGCTTTAGATTGCATTATCAATTGGCTTTTTTCGTGTGTGCTTCTAGTAAGAATTTATTCCACTTCCGTCTAATATTATCTCAATACTAAATTTTATTTGTACTAACTCCATAATTAATGTGCAGCCTGGCCCAAAGGATGGCACTCTCAAATGTTTCATAAGAAGAAACCGGACTACTCAGACGTATTATCTGTATATTGGACTCACAGAAGGTATCCTCCTTAATCATCCCCATTTTGCTGGGCGCAAGCAATGTAGTTATGCAGACTATAGTGGGTTCATGCTTACTACTTTTTGGTTGCAGCACTGGCTGATGATGGGAAGTTCTTGCTTGCTGCACGCAAATGCAGAAAGCCTACATACACTGACTACCTAATTTATCTTGATATGGGTGATATGTCAAAGGGAAGCAGCACCTATATTGGCAAGCTAAGGTGATGTTTTGAGATTTGAACTCCATTTGAAGCTATGATTTGTGCTATTTCCTTGATATTACAGGTAACCAAGATCCTTTAGTTCTATTGTAGGTTGTTTCAGCTAAATTCTAGTCTGCGTTGTTTCTTTCTTCTTTTGGAAAATCACCTTAAAGTCGTAAGAAAATAGAGTACTATTTGTTTTTCCATTTGTCGTCGTGTTAAGCTAATACTGAGCGTGAAATTGTAAAAAAAAGGTATTCTCTACTCTAGGTTCTACGCCCAGCCTCTGCATCGATTGATGCACATGGCCTAACAATGAGCATCAACTGGTCTTAGTTAGTAAGATGAACACTACATATTTTTATATTCGGATAATTTGCTTGTCAGGAGCATTCGATGGAAAGTTATTCTTGGCTTCATTGCTGTCTGAATTGTTTTCATGATTGATATCTAGTCCGGAATAACAACACAAAAATGACCTGGCCAACTGTTTCATGAACAGGTCGAACTTTCTGGGAACAAAGTTTACCGTCTATGATGCTCATCCACCGTATGATGGAGCTGTCGTCTCAAAAAGCCGGTCTGCTCGTGTGATTGGTTTGAACCAGGTCTCCCCAAGAGTTCCTGCTGGCAATTATCCAGTTTCACACATTTCTTATGAGTTGAATGTTTTGGGCTCCAGGTATGGCTATTCACACTGTTGTTCTGCTGTCTTAATTAGATCTATGTTATCGTTTTGGTATAAATATATATAACACCTGATAGTAGCAAACTCACAGTATGTTATCTAATTCTGAGTGGTTAGAATATTGGTTGTGATTATTGCAGCTGAATTTATTGGTCCGTATAAGCAAATTAGATTAAATTGACAAGGGCATGAACATAAAAACTACTCTATGTAACCCTTTAGATGTTAATTGACACTGCATGGTAACATTACTGTATCAAATTCCTCGTACACGTGTGATGGAAGGATGTCACTCATTGTCCTGTTGCATACCTGCTGCAGAGGTCCAAGAAGGATGAACTGTGTTATGAGTTCTATCCCTGCATCAGCAGTTGAAGAGGGAGGCAAAGCTCCAACACAAACTGAATTTCCTCTTGGTAACCTCGACTCCTTCCCGTCGATTCCATTCTTCAGATCAAAATCCGCTCGGATAGACAGTGCACCCACTCAGGCTCAGGACGAAGAGAAGCTGGTGCTGAAGAACAAGTCTCCTCGGTGGCATGAGCAGCTGCAATGTTGGTGCCTCAATTTCCGTGGGCGGGTGACGGTTGCGTCAGTTAAGAACTTTCAGCTGGTGGCTTCAGATGAGAATGGAGCAGCTGGTCAGGAGCATGACAAGGTGATTCTGCAGTTTGGAAAGATAGGCAAAGACTTGTTCACCATGGACTACCGCTACCCGATATCAGCATTTCAATCATTTGCAATATGTCTGAGCAGTTTTGATACCAAAATTGCTTGTGAATGAGACAAGGTAGTTATTTCTTTCCCTTTTTCCGTGTTAATAGTTGTAGTAGCTAAATTCTGATCATGGTTGATTACTGTGCTAGATATACTCGCATTAGAGTGACTTGTATCCACATGTTGATCGACCGACATTATGTATTAAACCGCTTCATATTGGCTCCTTAGATTCCAGAGACAGTAGGATGGTGAGAGTTGGACAAGATCCAGCATTTTGATTGGCTGTTGGCTGTTGGCGTTGGGGTCTCTAACCTGCATGTGTCTGCTGCCTATATTATCCAATTCCAACCGATCTTGTAGAAAAATAATATCCAGTTCCAGCTGGGCTCTCCTGTTGACAGGGTTAGGTCCAAATTAGATGCTGACAGTTGACGCGTGCGTGTTTGCCATCGTCTAATATAATAATTAAAAACATGCTGTGTAAGCTAGTGTAGCATGCAGTTTCTTATGTTAAACTTGTGTGGTTAACCCAAGTGTGGTTGTTAGTTTTCATTTGGATGAAGAAATCCTTGGGCCTCATGCATGCATGTATGTATGTATGTATGTACCTGCAGGTGCTGGGGAAAATCTTGGCAGCTGGAAGGAGGGAGGAAAACTGAAGCACAAGTATTGGGTAGACCGTCGCCTCAAGTTTGTCCAGTGGTGTATATATATAATATAATATATAGCTATCTCTCTATCTAGTTTATTTTCCTAAAACCTAGACTCTGTATATCTATCCCCACTTCACAGTGATGCAGACTTGTTTGTGTGGCATTGCCAAACCTGATGAGTTTATTTATGTACTCCATCCACATGGAAGGAGCAACGTTGCAACTCCGCAGGTCCGGAGGGAGGGATAGCCGTATTATTATTTTATAAAACATAACGGTTCTTCTTCAGTTTATGCATGTCACAAAGTAAAGTCGTGTGGGCTTGGGCATTTTTGATCTGGGGAGCCGTCCGACAATTTTTTTTTTAAAAAAAATTACTTTTCAACCGGTTAGCCCCAACTTTTTTTTGAGGAGGATGAACCCAGCCTCTGCATCAGAACGATGCATGCAGCCATATTATTAAGCAAAGTATGTAACAAAGTCTGATGTTAAAAAACGGCTCACCAACAGAGCATAACAAAAAGGAAAATAAAAGATGCCATTGGATCTTGCTCCTTCTCCCGTCTCGTCGCCATTAACCATAATCCTGCCCGCCAACATCGATAGGTTAACAAACCATGTTTGACCACCATGGCTTGCTTCACTTTCTACCTCACCTAAGCCCATTAACCCTTCAATACCACCCAAGCCGCCATAAATCCATCTTCGCTTCGAGGGCCTATGGATTTTCTTCCAACTTCTTCAATTTCTTATGCGGACGGCACATGCACCAAGAAGTCTCACGTTCCTCTGCCCAGTCGATTAACTAGACACGACTTCTCGTTAGGGTTACCTACTCTCGCCGCCGGGCATTGAAAAATCGTCCCCTACACCGCCAATCCCCCTCGTTCATGCTGGTGATCCCGCTCTGGCTGATCAAGGGGCGACCGTGCGTCTCCTCCTCGGCCTTGGTGGGTGTCGCTCGGTGAGGAAGTGGGGGCCTCGCGGAGTTAGGGTTTGGGAGATTGGATCGAGGACATGGCGACTACCAATCAGGGCGCTTCCGGATCAAAGGATAGTAAGAAGAACGATCTAGAGGCCATGATGGAATGCCTGGGACCGGAAGAAACTGATTTTGATGATGTCGTCTTTAAGGAACAAGATCAGCCACCGTCGGAGGCTACCCGCTGGCTTACTCTGATCAAATTGCATATTTAGAAAGAATATGGAGAGTTCTAGGTCTATAAACAGATGTGGATTGCCTGGGATCTGGTGCAAGAAGTAAAATTCAGAGCCCTTGGGGATGACTTATGCACAACTCAATTTTCGTGTCTAGGAGATTGGACTAAAGTGATGGAAGGGGGACCTTGGGCGTTGAGGGGATGCCCTGTGATCCTGGCTTCTTATGATGGGTTTGCACAACCATCCACGATAGAATTAACTGTTTTGAGATATGGTTCAACTTCACGATATGCCAAATGGTATGAACTCCATGGTTAAACCCCTTGCAAAGAAACTATGGGAATTTGTGGCAGTTGATGAGGGTTCGAACTTCACTAGGAATTTTTACAAGGCAAAGATTAAGTTAGATGTCTGGAAGCCACTGAAGAATCACACTTCGATGGTAAAGGGCGGCGAGAGGCAAACATATGTGGTGAAGTATGAAAGACTACCCCATTGGTGTGCCTTGTGTGGCATGATCGATCACTTTCATACTGAACATGGTGATGGAGTTCACCCAAAGTCAGCACCGAGCTTCAAAGATATGCGAGCCACAGTGGGCTTCAGAGGTGGACACGGTAGAGGGGCTGGAAGGCGCTCAAACAGGGGGCATGGAGGTTTTGGCAGTCGCCGCTATGGTGCTACTTCTAGCTCCTTTGATCAGTTTTCAGAAGATATGTAGAGTGAAAAGGATGGCAGTGAATATGCAGATGAATTAGATGAGGAGGAGTTGTTGAGGAGGCTTGAGTTAGTGGAGCAGAAAAAACGAAAAGCAGCCAAACCTAGTGTGCAAACAACAGCTGCCTTGGATCAGGAGATGCTTGATGCAAAAAAGGAAACAAGAGGTTCTGGCTCTCCCTCCTCCTAGTGAAAATAACCAGGCTGTGTTGTCTATGGTGGCTGCGGCTACATCTCCGAGTGATGCGGTAGCGCAAACACCAAAGAGGTACCCAAGAGGTCTAGAAGGAATGAAGGTAGTGCTCAATCTAGTCTGCCCTGGTTAGTCGTCAGTGACTTTAATGAGTGCATGTGAGACTTTAAACATTTTTCGCTATCGCCAAGACCTGCTAGACAAATGCAAGCGTTTCATGACTCTATGGAGATATGTGAGTTAGCTAACTTGGGCTTATCAGGGGTCCCGCATACCTATGATAATAGGAGAAATGGCGCGAGTAACGTGAAGGTACGTTTGGACATGACAGTTGCAACACCGTCTTGGCGCAATGTGTTTGAGCACTTGGAGGTCCAGCATCTGGTCTCGCCAGCCTCAGATAACATGGCCCTGCATGTGAAATGTGATATGTTAGAGGACGTGCATGTAAGAAAATAGTTTCGACAATACGAGTTGATGTGGAAAAGAGATCCAACACTGCAGGAAGTTATTACGCGCACATGGTCAGATGTTGGGCAGAAAGTGTGCCTTGGGGATGTGCATGCATCCCTAAGAGCAACCATGAACAAAATTTTCTCTTGGAGTAAAGAAATTTTCGACAATGTTTCAATGGAGATGGATAAATACAGAACACTGTTGGAGGAATTGATGTCTATGAACGCCGAAAGATGTGATATCAAGCGCCACTACTAGGGAAATGCTTATATAAAGGAGCTCACCAGTAGCGCTTTTCCAAGGAAAGTGCTGCTGCTACATAGCTGTAGCGCTTGGGCAGCAAGGGCGCTGCTACTATGGTCATAGCAGCAGCGCTGATCCTATAAAACCCGTGCGTGCATAGGATGAACAAATTAGTGTACAGGGAGGAGATTATGTGGTTGCAAAGATCCAGAATAGATGGCTGAAGGAGTGAGATCAGAACACAAAATTCTTTCATGCAAAATCAGTTTGGCGTGCTCGTAAAATAGAGTTAAGAAACTGGAGGATGAGCATGGTACTGTACTCACATGAGTAAAGAATATAAGGGGTGCGATGACTGCCTACTTCTAGAACCTTTTCATGGCCGACCCAACACTAGATCACACTACCATCACTGATTTATTTCACCCGGTTGTTACCCAATAAACTAATGATGTTTTGTGTGCGGACTTCTCAGATAAGGAGATAGCAGATGCACTCTTTCAGATCAGACCTTTGAAAGTGCCTGGTCTGGATGACTTTCCCGCTTACATTTTTCAAGGCAACTGGGCTACAGTAAAGGATGGTATTATTGCTGTGGCGAATTTTTTTTCCGAACTGGTACAATGCCTCCTAAAGTAAATGATAATGTAATAGTTATGATCCCTAAAGTAGATAATCCAGTGAAAGTTACGGATTTGCGTCCCATCAGTTTATGCAACATTGTGTATAAAGTGGTTTCTAAATGTTTGGTAAACTGTTTGAGGCCTGTTTTGGATGATTTCATTTCTCCGACTCAAAGCGCATTTATTCCCGAGGATGATCACTGATAACGCCTTTGTAGCATTTGAATGCATTCATCATATCAAGCAAGAAAAAGATCCTACCATGAGTTTTTGTGCATATAAGCTAAATCTCTCAAAAGCTTATGTCAGGGTGGACTAGAACTACCTTAAGCAAGTGATGCAAAAGATTGGCTTTGCTCATCGATGGGTTGACTGGATAATGTCATGTCTGACCTCAGTGAGATACTCTGTAATATTTAATGGAGCTATGTTGGATTCTTCTGCACCGTCACACAGTCTTCGGCAAGGTGATCCATTGTCCCTATACTTGTTCCTTTTTGTAGCTGATGGTCTCTCTGCTCTTATTAATAATGCTATTGGTATAAAGGATATTTCCCCATTGAAAATCTGGAGGAGGGATCTGGGAGTTTCACACTTATTATTTGCTGATGATACGCTATTGTTCTTCAAAGCCTGTGACACCAAAGAAAATTATATAAAAAATCTTCTAGAGGTATATGCAAATGCCACAGGTCAATTTATAAACCCTTGAAAGTGCTCAATGATGGTCGGGACCTCGTGCCTAGAGCCAAACATGGGAAACTTGAAGAATGTGTTGCAGGTTGTCTCTTCAGGTTCGCACATGACCTGAGACGACCGTGGCGTGTGAGGTGGCGTGGGAGTCTTGTATGCTGCTGGAGTGTCCATGGAGGTCACTACGCCGCCCGTAAGCTTCATAGTTTCGTCCTTAGACATAACAGCAGCTGGATCTCTGCTCCTCACACTCCGGAAGATGCCGCTCGCATGGCTTGGATTGCCAGAGCGTCATGGATGTTATTCACCGCCTCCGCCTCCTCCG